GGGGGGCGGTTAGAATCCTGCAGCATCTACTAAGTGAGGCCCCGGGGCAAGTCTGTTTCTTTTTAAACATTCTGAAGCCTCTATTTTCCCATCTGTAAGCCTTCTGAGGTTGTGTGGAACCCATGAGCTAGCACATGGGAATCACCCAACACGGGGACAGCCTCCGGAGGCGCCCGTGTGTATGTGTGTGTACAGTGGTGTTCACAGCCTCGAACCTGGACAGACAGGCTTCCCCGTCTCTTCCAGGTCAGACCTGGGAACACCTGGGGGAGTGGGCGGGGCTGGCGATATCCACCCTCTCTTCCCCATTGTAGGCCCTCGATCAGTGAAGACACCTGCGAGGAGAGGAGCCCCCCCATGGGAGGTAAGGGATTGAACCAACCTACCCCTCAAACCTGTCCCCAGAAGCCCCACCCCCACCCCCACCCCAGGCAGGCCCTGAACGGGCAGTTCACTGCGAGGCGAGAGGAAGGGCAAGGTGCCGGTTCGGGTCCTCTGCACGGGGACCTCCACGAGCTGCTCTGGAGGCAGCATTGCTTCACTGGCTTCTCACCAGAATGCTCGTCTCACAGAGGGGAGTCCAAGTCCGCAGGGGGCAAGGACCTGCCGAAAGCCGTGCAGTGCTGCCTCCCAGGCCCCTAGCGAGGGCTCAGTAGACACAGCCGCGTTTACAAGCGTGTGGGGGGCCACAAGGAGAACCTGGATCTTTCTTTTCCCTGAGACCAAACCTTCTAGACTTCGTTGTGTTCTAACTAACTGAAATTCCTTCCCTTAGGTTCCAGACCCATTTCTTTAGGGAAACGCTGAAACTCCCTGGGCTGGCCCAGGGAGGAAAGCAAATGGTCACACTATGCTCTCACAGCCAGACTGGCCAGACGGGCCTGAGAAGCTAACGGGTGTAGGGCCCTGCCGGCTGGTAGCTTTGGAGAAGCCAGTGGAACTGGGGATGGCAGAAAGAAAGGGGAACGTGTAAGACAAAGAGCTGTGGAGAAAGTCTGCATTTCTCCATCTTTTCTGCCCAGGGCATTGCCTTCTACCTTTCTCAGACTGTGAAGGATTTTCAGACAGAAGGGAAGGTGGAGATCATTAAAATCAACTCTTGATGTACAGATCGACAGGGAACCTGAAGCCCCGAGAAAGAAGGGAGGTAACTTGTACAAAGTCACACAGCACATGAGTGCAAGAACAGAGGCCCCGTGACTTGTATTTTTCCTGTATATTTGTGCATTCATATGTCGCTGCATCCGTGGGTCCACCGAATGCCTGCCATATGGTTGGTAGATAGATAGATAAAGACTGAGTTCAACAACAGGCAGACATGGTCCCTGCCCGGACTGCCCTGGCACACAAGCGCAGAAGTGATTCCGTACGAGAATGGTGTAAGGAGAGGAGGATGGGATATGGGATGAGCATGATGGTGCCGTCTCTGGTCAGACTAACGAGGGAGGAGGGGGTGCTTGAGATACGACCT